TAACCCTTCACATGTCTATATTTTTTAAAGGAAGACAACGTAAGGTATTAAACTTGGGGTATTTTGACTCTTTGCATGCAACCATTTTACCACCAATCTATGCCAAATTTAAAAAATAAAATAATTGGTGAATGTTTTGACACACATAGCAATTTAAGAATACATGTACAGAGAACTTTAAGGGTTACTGCCAAAGAACACCCCAATATATGTTCAGCAACATCTCCTAAGTACAGTGATACCACTCATGTATAGATGTGTCGGGTTCTCTGGGGTCTAAAAGACCTTATTTGGAGGGTGCGCATTCCAGTTTTCCAACTTGGAATTTTCAAAGCTGGTCATCATGCACCCATGTCCTATTTGGGACATTTTTGAAGCCGCCCAATGTAATTTACCCCAATCAAACCATGTGTATTTTTGGCATGGATTCTCAGTTCCTGTTATGTGTTACTGACAAAGAACACCCCAATATATGTTCAGCAGACTGATCTCGGGAGGGGCACTTTTATATTATTTAAAGAAATAATCCATGCACAATAACCACTACAGCTCTGTGTAGTGGTTATGGTGCCGGGACCCCCTCCCAGAGTAAGTAGTCAAACCGTTTAAGAACAGTTTGACAACTTACAGTGTGTGTGAGTGGGAGCAGTGTGTGTATGGGGTGTATGTATGGGGGCAGTGTGTATATGGGGGGCAGTGTATGTGTATGGGGGGCACTGTGTGTATGTGGGGGCAGTGTGTGTGTATGGGGGCAGTGTGTGTATGGGGGCAATGTGTATGTGTATGGGGGCAGTGTATGTGTATGGGGGGCAGTTTATGTGTATGGGGCAGTGTATGTATATGGGGGCAGTGTATGTGTGTGGGGGGCAGTGTGTGTATGGGGCAGTGTATGTGGATGGGGGGCAATGTGTGAATGTGTGGTTAGGGGGATAAGGGGGCTTTTTGATAAAAATAAATAATGTATAAAATTAAATAAATGTATGTCCCCCCTCCCTTACCTTTAATGGGAGGAGGGGGGACATATTTCGATCCCTGGTGGTCCGGTGGGTAATCCCTGGTGGTCCAGTGGTCAAAGTGAACTCTAGCCTGGGCTCCTGGGCTAGAGTTCACTCTCGCGAGATTGCTCGCGAGAGGAGGACCCGGAGGAGCTGCAGGCTGAGCTCCCAGGTCCTCTCTCCCTCCCCTGCCGGCTGCCAGCATGGTGCCTGCAGACCGGGGAGGGAGATCTGTGATCTCCCCCCAGGTCTGCAGGCACATTGCAGGGCTGGCACTTGGACAATGCCAGCCCTGCATTAGCCGGCAGGGGAGAATCTTGGGGGGGGATCAATTGCCCCGTTGCCCCCCCTGAATCCGCCAGTGCCCCAATGTACAGGTTTTATGGGTTTTTGCAAACTTACAGGGGTCAAATGTAGGGCTTTCGCCTTTTCATGTTTGCACATTGAAATTTGCCAGATTCTTTTGCTGGGCCTATGTTACCTTTGAGACCGTATAGCAGGCCCAGAATGAAAATTAACCCCATCATGGCATACCATTTGTAAAAGTAGACAACCCACGGTATTCAAAATGGGGTATGTCCAGTCTTTTGTAGTAGCCACGTAGTCACAAATGCTTGCCAAAGTTAGCGTTCATATTTGTTTTTTGCATTTTTTTTTTTACACAAAAACTTGTGATTTCATTGTTGTTATAAGTTTTACTGTTTTAAACACTCATATTTGTGTTCAACAAAGTCTCCCGAGTAAACCAATACAGGTTTTATGGTGTTTTGAAAAGGTACAGAGTCAATATGGGGCTTGCCCATTTAATCTGCAGGGGTGGATCTAAAACTGTCCCTTTGTCTCAGTGTGTCCCATGTTACTAGGATACTAGGGGACACTGAGAGACATGGGGACACAGTGAGACATGTAGACACTGAGAGACTGGGGGACACTGGGAGACTGGGGACACTGGGAGACATGGGGCACTGAGACACTTGGGGACATTGAGACTCTTGGGGCACTTGTGGATACAGACATGGGGACACTGGGAGACATGGAGACACTGGGAGACATGGGGACACTGGAAGACATGGGGACACTGAGAGAAATAGGGTCACAGATACTAAGGACACAAACATTTGGGGAAACTACGACACTAGGGACACAGAGACATGGGGACACAGGGAGACATGGGCACACTGAGACACCAGGGACACTGGCTGGAAGGCATGGGGACACAGACACGTGGGGACACTGGGAGACATGGGGACACATATACATGGGGACACCAGAAACACACAGACACTGGGAGACTTAGGGACACTGAGACACTAGGGACACTGACTGGGAGACATAGGGACACTGGGTGACATGGGGACACTGAGACACTAGGGACACTGGATGGGAGACATGTGGACACTGGGAGACATGGGGAGACAGACAAATGGGGACACTGAGAGACATGGGTACACAGACACTGGGAGACTAGGGGACACTGGGAGCCATGGAGACACCGAGACACTAGGGACACTGGCTGGGAGACATGGGGACACTGGGAGACATGGAGATACTGTGTCCCTAGTGCCTCCGTGTCCCAATGTGTCTCCCTGTGTCTCACAGCAACCCCATATCTCAGTGTCCCCATGTCTTACAGTGTCCCCTAGTGTCCCCATGTTTCCCAGTGTCCGCAAGTGTCTCAGTGTCCCCACATCTCCCAGTGTCTCAGTGTCCCCATGTCTCCCTGCTGCCTTTCCCCCCATCCTTCACTTACCTGAGCTGTAGTCTGTCTCTGCAGGCTGGGAGCTGCTGTCTGGACTCTCTGTGCTGTGTAGCTGCTCCCCAGTGGATCAGTGAGTAGAGAGAGGCCGGTGCTGGTATTGCATAGTAAACTCTGTATATATTGATGAAAATATTTGCATTTGTATTGCCGGTACTACTGCAATACAGTCACAGCAAGGCAGCCTCAAATATTGGCTGTGCCTTAAAATACCAGTCAGGTGGCAAACCTAAGAGTAGTGTGTAAAAAAGATAAGTAAAAAAAACAAACTTCCATGGGCCTGGGCCTGGAGCTGCAGCTCCATCAGCCCCTATGTTAATTCGGCCCTGCTTACACCAACCCTACGTTTAGACAACCATAATGCTTACACTAACCATAAACCTAGAGTTAGCTAATCCTAACACTTATGCTAACCCGATATCTAATTAGCTGACTGTAATACAAAGCCAAACCCTGTGAGTAAGTAGCAATGCATTTATAATTCTGTCCTGGTTTTAGTGTGCGTAGGCAGAAGAGTGTTCATTTGTACGCATGCAAGTGTCAGAGAGTGTATGTGATTGTATAAGGGTAGTATATTGCCAAGAAACCCAGGCTGTCCCTAATTATAGCGATCAACATACCAACAGTGCCATAAATCCACTCCAGTAATATAGCCACGTCCAGTCACATACATTCAACCACTAAGCCAGGACTCCACTAAGTCACTTACCTCAGACTCTCAGATAAATACCCACTCAATCTCATACAGTCACTCAGCCAGTCCCAAATTACCTGCTCACATTCACTCACATTTTTAAACAGGCTGGTTTATTGGGGAAAACAGCAAGTATTCTGTTCTACCTACTATGTTATGCACTTTGGGGTTAAGAATGCACAAGCAATTTACACCCTAAATGGTAGTGAATTAGAGATAACCACACACGAGAAGAATTTGGGAACTGTTATAGACAACAAATTAGGCAGCAATGTGCAATGTCAATGTGCAGTTGCTAAGGCCAGTAAGGTTTTGTCATGTACAAATAGGGGCATAAATTCTCGGGATGAAAATATAATTTTGCCTCTTTATAAATTGCTGGTAAGACCACACCTTGAATATGCTGTGCAATTTTGGGCACCTGTTCTAAAGAAGGATGTCATGGCACTAGAAAAAGTGCAGAGACAAGCTACAAAATTGATAAAAGGAACGGAGCATTTTAGTTATGATGAAAGGTTAAAAAATTTAAATCTCTTTAGTTTAGAAAAACAGTGCCTGAGAGGGGATATGATAACATTATACAAATATATTCGGGGCCAGTACAAACCTTTATCTGGAAATCTATTTATAAACAGAGCTATACATAGGACACGAGGTCACACATTTAGGCTGGTAGAATGGAGATTTCATCTAAGGCAAAGAAAAGGTTTTATACAGTAAGAGCAATAAGGATATGGAATTCTCTGCCTGAAGAGGTGGTTTTGTCAGAGTCTATACAGATGTTTAAACTGCTATTGGATAAATACTTGCAAAAACATAACATACAGTGATATAATTTCTAATCAGTGGGGTAATAGCTGCTTGATCCAAGGAGACATCTGACTGCTATTTTGGGGTCAAGAAGGAATTTTTTCCTAGTTTGTTGCAAAATTGGAAGCGTTTCAGACTAGGTTTTTGCCTTCTTTTGGATCAACAGCAAAAACATATGTGAGAAAGGCTGAACTTGATGGACGTAAGTCTCTTTTCAGCTATGTAACTATGTAACTACTGGGGTTTTAGTAGCCTCAGGTCCAGCTTAGCAACTAGTTTGTGGAGTGCGGTAGACCTCTTGGATCTATGGTGTACATTTTTCAACCAGTCAGATACTCTCAACTCTATTTGCTCACTATTACACACACATATTGCATACAACCTCACATACATGCCTTATAAATTGATTGAATATGTAGTCACAAATGAAAAATTATGTGTAGGCAGGTGAGAGACTAATTTAACTACACCCTAATGAGGCTCTAAATAAATAAATAAATAAAAGTATTGCAACAGTGTGTTATTGGCCCATAGCCTACCCCTGATGGGAATCAATATTGTTTTTTAACATTAATTGTGATTTAATCATAATGCTTTAGGCAAATTGTAATAGTAGGGAAGGTTCCATATACGTATTTATATTTGTTAATTTCCTTTTTCAGTTTGCTTTACTTTCAGAGTCACATAATCTCTGCATTTTAACACACTGAACTTTCAGGATTTGCATGAATTCTCTGATTAACACGAAACAATAGCTGAGGCGTGATGTAAGATTCATGACACAATACGTGGAAGCATGCCAGAGACTGCAAAGGTATAAATAGGGTAAGCTAGAGATATTTTGTAGCATTGATAGACAACTCAGAGGATGCTGTGGATAAAGTGCTGTGTTGTGCTCCTGGTCTTCACCTATGCATCTCATGCTGATCCAGTATGCTGTGAGTATACAGACAACTACAAAACAAAACAAACTAGATAAAGTGAAGAGCTTTATTGCATATGATCAAGGGCAGCACTATGTAATACGATGTAATTTTTGAGGATGGGGCATATCCAAGAGACAGATCTAATATAACAATAAAAATACACACAATAAACACACACACACAACACACTACTGTTTATGGCTTCTTTTTTAATAAAAATTAAAATCCTTATATACAGGGATATAACAAAATAACAAATGTCTCTTATATTAGACACACACACATACACACACACACACACACACACACACACACTCTCTCTCTCTCTCTCTCTCTCTCTCTCTCTCTCATGGTAATTCATAATTATATATTTGTAACCAAATAACTTTTTTCATGAGATTACTGTTCATCCCTCAGCTGTTCCAGACAGTGGGAAGGCTTCAGTGACAGCCCTTGTTCTGAACATGGCCAAGTCTGTGGGACCGTGCGTCACTCCAAATCCTAGTGTTTTGCTTGCATTGAATTTGGTTGACAAAACCTTCGATCCAGCAACTGCAGATCTCCTGGTAAAGCAATTGAAAGAAGATGCAGTTACAAAGGTTTCTGAAAGTGAGGAGCCCTAATTCAGAGATAAGCTTTCTTTTAACAGATTTTAATCCTGTTGTTTGTTGTCATTCGGCTAACCAAATGAATGTTTAGTTATGCTACTTATAAAACATGTTCCCTAGAGAACATTGCGACATTTGCCTTAAGTTGCTATAATAAAACTTTATCCAGTCTAATGATACTTACAGGGTTATTCAATTAAGACAGAATTCAAAGTAGTTTTAAGGCCAAATAGTCAAACTGGGAGCATCGCTGATGTGAAGAATGTGCTCTGTTTGCTATTTTGGACTATAATTTTCAATTCACTTTGAATCCACATCTATTTCCTGACAATTTAGTGAATATCTCTGTATGGTTTAACAGTAATCTAATATTCATACAGATAAGAACTAAAACAGGCATCTTAAACTCCAGATGTTTCTGAATTACAACTTCCTTGATCATCTAATGCAGGCATAGGCGACCTTCGGCACTCCAGATGTTTTGGACTACACCTCCCATGGTGCTTTGTCAGCATTGTAGGTGTAAGAGCATTATGGGGGATGTAGTCAACATCATCTGGAATGCCGAAGGTTGTCTATCCCTGATCTAATGCATTCGGAAAATTCTGGGAGTTGTAGGCATCTGGTGGACCAGAGTTTGAGATCCCTGTTCTAGAATCTTAATGTATCCACATGAAGCAATATTATATAGAACAAGCTGGATAAGATAATACTTTATGTACCTGCGAACATTCCCGGCCCAACTCCGGGGGCAGGAAATAGAGCAGGTGTGCATGGGTGTGCCCTCCTCAAGCTGACTATGCACAGAGCAGGGCTGAAGTGCTCCATGCATGGTTCTCATGTCCAGTCCCCTCCTGCCAGCATTTAGAAAGCTGCCAGCAGGACCTAGATTTGCTGGAACAGTACTCCAATATGTGGGACTGTCCTGGCAAAATCCAGATGATTGTCATTTATGCAGATAGCAAAGGCACCCTTTTTCTAGTGCTATGACTTTGTGTTTGTCCCATAGCAATAACTCAACATCTTCTTAAAAGAGAATAACATCAGCTTTATTCCTTAAAATGCATCTTTAATGCAGTAAGTCTATTTCTGTTAAATTGCTACTCTAATTCTGTGTGACAGAACTGGATATGATCAACTATTTGTGTGTTTGCTCCATCACAGATTTGCCTTTTAGCTCTGGGAAAGTAGCACTCTATGCACTCGCTCTTCGCTCATCGTGCTGTGACATCACCAATATTCCATACTCTAAGGGAAACTTGAACCTTGTAAGTCTCCTAGAAAATAAAACAAAGGAGGAGATCAAAAGTATTGGTAAGTGACCTCTATATTAAGGGGAATTTACTGTATTGTTTACTAAACTCCATATTGTAGCGAACTGTCATCTTAGGCAAACATAAAGGATTCTGAAGTCACAATGTGTTATTTACACCTAAATATTGCCATTGTGGTCTCAGAGTTTAGTGAATAACTGAGTTCTAATTACTTATGTAATGCAGATTCATATTTCACATGTTTGATACCTGTCTAATGACACTTGCAGAAAAGGAAAAAAAAAAACCTCTAACAACATTTTACCAAGTGGCTTTGGATGTTTTGGCTCTGTGTGTTGTCAACAGTCACGTTGCCTTTCAAGCCGGGACAACGCTGGCAAATGCTGTCCCATCAAATCCTACTTCACCTGATTTCTCTGTGGGTAAGTAACAGGCATTGTCACATGTACTGAGCAGTCGAGAGTCATTTATTTATAAAATTTAGATGAACTTGACCTAGTGTAGGTGTATGAAATAGTGCTTATCCATAATATCATCTCATGGCAATTCCGACGATATTTATAGAACTGTGAGCATATTTTACATTTCTTTTTGTGCCATGGGGAAAATTAGTAATTATTTTACTTGAATGATCATGTACAAACCAGTTGTGGAAAGGTAGGCCAAACATTATAAACAGTGGTTTTCCTACAGAGATTTCCAGGCTGTGTAAAGACTCAGAGGTCCAGCATCACTGCATCCATTTCACTGGGGGTTTGTAGTGAGGTGAAAACTAAAGAAAGATCTTACATCACAGAGTTGGTATCAATCCCTAACATAATAGCCAACCTGGTAAAGTATAGATAGTCATCCAAATTGAATTATATATCTTTAAAAGGGGCACTGGAGAACAATTAAATCATATGAAATAAAAAATAATTCTCATTATAGATTTGTAGAACTATTAAGGGTATCAAAATTGCCAAATAAGGCAACCCTTATGTGTATGTCGCCAGCATTCTGTGAAACCCTTTGATAATGCTTACAACCCTGTAATATGTTGAAAAGATTTTTCTGATCTGAAATGCGCACAGCTAAAGAGAATGACCGCTCATTTGAAAACATGCAGATAACATATTATGGAAGTAGAAACATCAAATATGTAATAAATAGACACCAGAACACATGCCATATTTTTTCCATGAGTTATTCCCTGTCTTCCACGGTCTATAATGAATAAATACTAATTAGGAAAAATCCAAACTCTGTACAAGTGGAACTGTCACTTTTCAGGATTTTTAGTATTATTTTTCTTATCTCTATATTTTGCATATATGTATTTGTGAGTTATGGAAAATACACTTAAAGGATCACTATAGGTTCAGGTACACAAACATGTATTCCTGACCCTATAGTGTTAAAACCACCATCTAGCCCCCCTGGGTCCCTCATGCCTCCATAAATATAGCAACATCTTACTGTATTCAAGCCAGAAGCTGTAACTCTGCATGCTGTTTGCCTAAAAAAATAAAATAAAAAAAAAGCAGTTTGCTGACATCATCAGAAGTGGTAGCCTGATCCAATCACAGTGCTTTGCTGAGACTGACAAGGAGGCAGATCAGGGGCAGAGCCAGCATGATTCAAACACAGCCCTGGCAAATCAGCATCTCCTCATAGAGATGAATTGAATCAATGAATTTCTATGAGGAAAGTTCAGTGTCTGCATGCAGAGGGAGGAGATACTGAATGTTTGGATGCATTTTAGGCAGCCATGACCCAGGAAGAATCTCTAACAACAATCTAAGGAGTGGCCAGTGAAGTTATCACTAGGCTGTAATGTAAACACTGCATTTTCTATGAAAAGACAGTGTTTACAGCAAAAAGCCTGAAGGTAATGATTCTACTCACCAGAACAAATTCAATCAAATTCAATTATTCTCTAACTGGGCACCCCATCTAAGCTCCCTGCCAAGCATTGCTGGATAAGCTCTATGCTTTATCCTTGGCATCGACATATGAAAAGCATAGAGAGAAGAGGAGAAAATAAACAATATTTCTGTTTTTCCAGCTTATTTGCAATTTTTGTCCAGTCTTTGCCTTGGCTGAAGTTGACTGTGATGCCATTTTCTAAATCATTAAAATAAACTTAAGAAAAATAAAACAAACAAAAAATTGTATCACATGTGAAAAAGGTTAACACAAATTAAAGGTGATTTTTTTTTTTTTTTAATGTTTTGTTCAGTGGTGTAATTTCCAGAGAAGTGACATTTCCCCTTTAAATAGAGCACTTTATTGTACAATTAAATATAATAATATAATATAACAACATACAAATGATAGAGGCTATAGTTAGCGTGCAACAAAGCAAAAAAGTGCATGTAACACTCAAAGCCTCGGAGGACTGGACACATGCACCAAAAATACCTTCAACGTTTCGGCAAGTGTGCATCCTTTTGTATTTAGAGTATTGATTTTTTTTTTTTTTTTTATTATTATAAGGGATGCGTCTTGAGAATAGTCCAGTTATGAAATATTTATTTTACATGTAATCATATTTAATTCTTGGCTTAAATGCAAGTGTATTGTATATAATGCTAATTTATCTTCCAGGAATTGCAAATATTTCTTAAATAGAGATAACATTTTACTCAAGTACATTCCTAATGGAATAGTTTAAAATAAATGTATAATCAAATGCTTAGATTCAAAATGATTATATTTACTGTTGAATAAGTTACAGTAGCAACTTCATGGACATTTCAAAATACTTTGCACACATATTGGGAGGTAGTTAGTGTGACCTCACTACCCCTTCACTGGAATAGCAGTTTACATGCTAACAATGATATATTCCATCACATAAAGTCACTCTGCATCTGCTATAGAGTAACCCTATAACCTATGCATGAATTTTACAGATACCGCAGCTGTCGCAGTGATGGGATTTACATGTGTTCTTGGCATGGATGCTGCTCCCACTAAAACAATTAGTTCAGTGAAGAATGCTCTGTCCGTGTTAATAAACCTCATGTTGAACAACCAAATGAGTGATGGAATCATTGGTAATATATACAGCACTGGTCTTGCTGCACAGGTAAATTGATACACCAGGAACAGAGGAACAATATGTTATCTTATATTTTCTTTTTTCATCCATGGTTTCATACCTGCAGAGGCCTGAGAAGAATTCTTCTACATATTTCTTTGTAGGGATTACGGATGATTGGAAAGATTCATTGTACAAGAGTATACATTTTTATTTCTACATGTTCATTTTTTTATGCAATTAATCGCTACCTGTGCACTAGTTTATACATGATTGCCAGGATAAGCAGCCATACCCCACACTAGTGTATACAAGATTTGCATTATTGCAAATTAAATGTGTTTATTGTAAACAAAGTTTGTATACTACTGTCCTGAAGTTTACAATGCTGTGACACTGGGAGCCAAGCAGGGATTTTGTAGATTTTTCTTGTGGCCCACATAAACTTAAACCTTTTTTATTTGGTCTGTGTTAGTCTTTGAGTTTGACATGTTCGCTGTAGTTAAGGGGAAGGCATGTATTTACTTAGAGCGTTGAAAGGATGTGTCATGATATCACATCCTCCAGTGCTCACAGTGAAATTATAATGTTGGAGTTTGAAATGAGAGATGCAGGCCACCCTCCTTCCTGGAGAAGTAGGTAATCGGTGGATGGCAGTGGGGAGGAGTAAGTGTGCTGAGAGACTGGCATCAAACACTATAGTGCTGAACTAGATGTTTTAGTGTCCATCTTCCCTCAGAATATAGTTGAAAAGCTTTAAACTTCCATTTTCTCCATTGCTAACATGGTCTCGCCATGGTTGGCCCTGTCTCCATGGCTGAGATCATCAATTTTGATGATCTAAGCCAATCCATTGCTTTCCCATAGGAAACCATTGGGAGGCTATTGCACATGCATAGCAATACACTGCACTGTGCCAATCAGCATAAAAAAAGAGGCCAAGTGGAACACAAGTGCCGCAAATCAGTGCAGGCAAGCCACTAAGATCACTCCCAAAATCCCATAAACACATATAATCAAGTTTGTGTATCCACACTGGCAGGGCCGGATTAAGAGCACAGTGGGCCTGGTGCTGACAATTATGATGGGCCTAATTACGGAATCTTATCGACCAAAAACACTAAAACAATCATACCTCCCAAGCGTCATGTATCTGATGGAGATGGTGCTGGAGGGAAACTCATAGGATGCAGCTATAAGAAAACACATACTCTATGCTAATTTCTCTCTAATTTATGCTTTCATCTTTCAAGTAAATCCATAACCCCTAACAGCAGTGTCCAGTGAAGCAGGAAGTCAATGGGCGGGGTAAAAGGGTGTGCCACTGGCGTGAATCACGTGACAAGACCTGCCAAAAGGGGTGAACATGCCCAAAAAGGGGGCATGTTTGTCCAAAGAATTGGAAGGTCAGCCTGGCATGAATGCATGTCAGGCTGCCTGCCAATCCTGCAGGCTGTCCAACTAAGGGCATACAATGCAGGCAGCACCTTGAGCTTGACATAAATGCGTCTAATGATGCGCTCACTCCATTCTTTCTAAGGACTGTCCCCTAGCACTCGCTGGTCCACTTGTCTCCTTACCTTCTTACTATCAGGCAGAAGTTCCTGGTATAGTCTGAGACAGAGAAAAGGTGTCTGTAGTGAGTGTAGAAGAAAGGGGACATGCCACAGTGTTAGAGAGACCAACGTCTGCATTACCTAAACTAACTTTAATGTCAGCCAGTGCACACAAGTTTTGTTCCCATACATCCCTCTTAAGCTTCCAAACTTAAAAGGACACTATAGTTACCAGAAGAACTACAGCTTATTGTATTTGTTCTGGTAAGTAGAATCATTCCATTCAGGCTTTTTGCAGTAAACACTGTCTTTTCAGAGAAAATAACTCCGCTGGCCGCTCCTTAGATGGCTGCTAGAGGTGCTTCCTCGGGCAGTACTGCCTAGTGTGCAGCACTGCCATTCAGTGTCTCCACCCTCTGCATGCAGACACTGAACTTTCCTCCTAGAGATGCATTGATTCAATTTATCTTTATGAGGAGATGCTTATTGGCCAGGGCTATGTTGGACTTGTGCTGGCTCTGCCCCTGATCTGCCTAGTTGACAGTCTCAGCCAATCCTATGGGGAAGTATTGTAATTTGCTCAGACCACCACTTCTGAGCCAGCAGCTGCAGAATTGAATACAAGTAATGTTTTACTATATTTAGGGAGGCAAGAAGGGGCCAGGGTGGTGGTTTTAACACAATAGGGTAAAAAATACATGATTGTGTTCCTGACACTATAGTTCTCCTTTAAGCAAGAGTATGTGAAGAGTAGTTAAGGTTGCCACCTTTCTTGGAAAAAAATACCAGCCTTAATCATTTGCATAATTAATTATTTATGCATGTAAATCACAAGGAGTGACATCAGAGACAATTCTGTAAAATCACCAACAAACTACTCACAGTTTGATTCTGCTGTATAGATGGATTGCTCCCAGTGTCTCACTGTTTTCCAGTCTCAGTCTCACAAGTCACTCTGTGTCTCAGTGTCCCTATGTATCACAGTGTCAGTGTCCCCATCTCGCCCAGTCCCCTAGTCTCCCAGTGTCTGTGTCCCCATTTCTCCCAGTGTCCCAATGTCTCAGTGTGTCCCCATGTCACTAGGATACTGGGGACACTGAGAGACATGGGGACACTGAGAGACCCGAGGACACAGAGACATGGGGACACTGAGACATTTAGGGAAACTGGGAGAAATGGGGACACTGAGACACTAGGGACACAGACACTGGAAGACATGGGGTCACTGAAACATTTGGGGACACTAAGACACTAGGGACACAGACATGGGAACACAGACATTGGGAGACTAGGGGACACTGGCTGGGAGACAGACACTTGGGGACACTGGGAGACATGGGGACAGTTGTAGACATAGACATGTGGACACTGGAACATATAGGGACACTGGGAGACATGGGGACACCAGGCACACTGAGACACTAAGAACACAGACACTGGGAGACATGGAGACACTGAAACATTTGGGGACACTAAGACACTAGGGACACAGACACTGGGAGACTAGGGGACACTGGGAGATTAGGGGATACTGGGAGACTAGGGGACACTGGCTGGGAGACAGACACTTGGGGACAGTTGTGGACATAGACATGGGGACATTGGGACACAAGGGGACACTAGGCACACTGAGAGACATGGGACACAGACACTGGGAGACTTGGGGACACTGAGACCCTAGGGACACTGGCTGGGGGACATAGTGTCTCCATGTCCCAATGTCTCCAAATGTCCCTATGTCTCACAGCGTCCCCATGTGTCTCAGCATCCCCATGTGTCCCCTAGTGTCTCAGTGTCCTCATGTTTTCCAGTGTCCCCAAGTGTCTGTGTCCCCAGGTCTCACAGTGTCTGTGTCCACATGTGTCCTAGTGTCTCAGTGTCCCCTAGTGTCTGTGTTCCCATGTGTCCCCTAGTGTCTGTGTCTCCTAGTGTCTGTGTCCCCATGTCCCCAAGTGTCTCAGTGTCCCCATGTTTTCCAGTGTCCCCAAGTGTCTCAGTGTTCCCAGGTCTCCCAGTGTCTGTGTCCTAGTGTCTCAGTGTCCCCTAGTGTATGTGTCATCATGTGTCCCCTATTGTCTGTGTCCCCTAGTGTCTCAGTGTCCCCATATGTCCCCTAGTGTCTCAGTGTCCCCATGTGTCCCTGCTGCCTTTCCCCCCATCCCTCACTTACCTGAGCTGTACAGCTGCTGCCTGGACTCTCTGTGCTGTGTAGTTGCTCCCCCACGGATCAGTGAGTAGTAGAGAGAGGCAGGGATATTCTGTAACTTCCTATCCCTGCCTCTCTCCACATACAGTGACCCCTACTGGCTGGTGCTGGTATTGCAGAGTAATTTCCATTTATTCTGAGAAAATTACCTGCATTTGTATTGCCGGTATTACTGCAATACCGGCACAGCCAGGCAGCCTCAAATACCATCTGTGCCATTAAAATACAAGTCAGGTGGCAAACCTAAGAGTAGTGTGGGCCTTTTTTTAAATGGGCCTATTCCATGGGCCTGGGCCTGGAGCTGCAGCTCCATCAGCCCCTATGTTAATCCGGCCCTGATGACCCCCTACACATACTACAATCCCTATCAACCCCTGCACATACTACAACCCCTATCACTCCCTACACATACTTCAACCCATATCACCTCCTACACATACTACTGTCCTTATCACCTCCTACTCATACTACAACTCCTATCACCTCCTACACATACTACAGCCCCTGTCACCCCTACACATATTACAACCGCTATCACCCCCTACACATACTACAACTTCTGTCACTCCATACACATATTACATCCCCTATCATCCCCTACACATACTACAAACCCTATCATCCCCTACACATACTACAACCCCTATCACGCCTACACATACTACAACCCCTATTACTCACTATACATACTACAACCCCTATCAACTCCTACACATATTACAGCCTCAATCACCCCTACACATACTACAACTCCCATCACCTCCTAAACATACTACAGCCCCTATCACCCCCTACACATACTACAACCCCTATCACCTCCTACACATACTACAGTCAGGGACATATTTGCCGCAAGGCAAACAAGGCATTTGCCTTGGGTGGCACTTTCCAGGGGGTGGCAAAAGACGCTGCCCCCAAATGCCTTGACAAATACCTTGTTAGCCTGGTGGCTCCTGGCATCACTTTGCGGTGCGCGAGGGAGCTGATCAAAGATAGCTCACAAATCAGTGCTCCCTCGCCGGCGCCACCCGCCCGGATTACAATTAGCCGCCCAAGTGCCTGCATGCCTGCCTCCCTCCCTACAAGAAGACCCACTGGCAGGGCCGGATTAAGAGCACAGTGGGCCTGGTGCTGACAATTATGATGGGCCTAATTACGGAATCTTATCGACCAAAAACACTAAAACAATCATACCTCCCAAGCGTCATGTATCTGATGGAGATGGTGCTGGAGGGAAACTCATAGGATGCAGCTATAAGAAAACACATACTCTATGCTAATCCCTCTCTAATTTATGATTTCATCTTTCAAGTAAATCCATAACCCCTAACAGCAGTGTCCAGTGAAGCAGGAAGTCAATGGGCGGGGTAAAAGGGTGTGCCACTGGCGCAAATCACGTGACAAGACCTGCCAAAAGGGGTGAACATGCCCAAAAAGGGGGCATGTTTGTCCAAAGAATTGGAAGGTCAGCCTGGCATGAATGCATGTCAGGCTGCCTGCCAATCCTGCAGGCTGTCCAACTAAGGGCATACTATGCAGGCAGCACCTTGAGCTTGACATAAATGCGTCTAATGATGCGCTCACTCCATTCTTTCAAAGGACTGTCCCCTAGCACACGCTGGTCCACTTGTCTCCTTACCTTCTTACTAGCAGGCAGAAGTTCCTGGTATATAGTCTGAGACAGAGAAAAGATGTCTGTAGTGAGTGTAGAAGAAAGGGGACATGCCACAGTGTTAGAGAGACCAACATCTGCTTATTGTATTTGTTCTGGTAAGTAGAATCATTCCATTCAGGCTTTTTGCAGTAAACACTGTATTTTCAGAGAAAATAACTCCACTGGCTGCTCCTTAGATGGCTGCTAGAGGTGCTTCCTGGGGCAGTACTGCCTAGTGTGCAGCACTGCCATTCAGTGTCTCCACCCTCTGCATGCAGACACAGAACTTTCCTCATAGAGATGCATTGATTCAATTTATCTTTATGAGGAGATGCTGATTGGCCAGGGCTATGTTGGACTTGTGCTGGCTCTGCCCCTGATCTGCCTAGTTGATAGTCTCAGCCAGTCCTATGGGGAAGTATTGTAATTTGCTCAGACCACCACTTCTGAGCCAGCAGCTGCAGAATTTAATACAAGTAATATTTTACTATATTTAGGGAGGCAAGAAGGGTGGTGGTTTTAACATAATAGGGTCAGAAATACATGATTGTGTTCCTGACCCTATAGTGCTCCTTTAAGCAAGAGTATGTGAAGAGTAGTTAAGGTTGCCACCTTTCTTGGAAAAAAATACCAGCCTTAATAATTTGTATAATAAATTAGTTATGCATGACATCACATGATGTAAATCACAAGGAGTGACATCAGAGAAAATTCTATAAAATCACCAAACTACTCACAGTTTGATTCTGCTGTATAGATGGATTGCTCCCAGTGTCTCCCTGTCTCCCAGTGTCTCAGTCTCGCAAGTCACCCAGTGTCTCAGTGTCCCTATGTATCACAGTGTCAGTGTCCCCTGTGTCGCCCAGTCCCCTAGTCTCCCAGTGTCTGTGTCCCCATTTCTCCCAGTGTCTCAGTGTGTCCCCATGTCACTAGGATACTGGGGACACTGAGAGACCCGGGGACACTGAGACATTTAGGGAAACTGGGAGAAATGGGGACACTGAGACACTAGGGACACAGACACTGGGAGACATGGGGACACTGAAACATTTGGGGACACTAAGACACTATGGACAAAGACATGGGAACACAGACACTGGGAGACTAGGGGACACTGGGAGACTAGGGGACACTGGCTGGGAGACAGACACTTGGGGACACTGGGAGACATGGGGACAGTTGTGGACATGTGGACACTGGGACATATAGGGACACTGGGAGACATGGGGACACCAGGCACACAGACACTAGGAACACACTGGGAGACATGGAGACACTGAAACATTTGGGGACACTAAGACACTAGGGACACAGACACTGGGAGACTAGGGGACGCTGGGAGACTAGGGGATACTGGGAGACTAGGGGACACTGGCTGGGAGTCAGACACTTGGGGAGACATGGGGACAGTTGTGGACATAGACATGGGGACACCAGGCACACTGAGAGACATGGGACACAGACACTGGGAGACTTGGGGACAGTGAGACACTAGGGACAATGGCTGGGGGACATAGTGTCTCCATGTCCCAATGTCTCCCAATGTCCCTATGTCTCACAGCGTCCCCATGTGTCTCAGCATCCCCATGTGTCTCAGTGTCCCTGAGTGTCTCAGTGTCCCCAGGTCTCCCAGTGTCTCAGTGTCCCCTAGTGACAGTGTCCCCTAGTGTCTGTGTCCCCTAGTGTCTGTGTTCCCATATGTCCCCAAGTGTCTCAGTGTCCCCATGTTTTCCAGTGTCCCCAAGTGTCTCAGTGTTCCCAGGTCTCCCAGTGTCTGTGTCCTAGTGTCTCAGTGTCCCCTAGTGTATGTGTCATCATGTGTCCCCTAGTGTCTGTGTCCCCTAGTGTCTAAGGGTCCCCATGTGTCCCCTAGTGTCTCAGTGTCCCCTAGTGTCTCAGTGTCCCCATGTGTCCCCTAGTGTCTCAGTGTCCCCAATGTGTCCCCTAGTGTCTCAGTGTCCCCATGTGTCCCTGCTGCCTTTCCCCCCATCCCTCACTTACCTGACCTGTAGAGCTGCTGTCTGGACTCTCTGTGCTGTGTTGCTGCTCCCCCATGGGTCAGTGAGTAGTAGAGAGAGGCAGGGATATTCTGTAACTTCCTATCCATGCCTCTCTCCACACACAGTGACCCCTACTGGCCGGTGCTGGTATTGCAGAGTAATTTCCATTTATTCTGAGAAAATTAGCTGCATTTGTATTGCTGGTATTACTGCAATACCGGCAGGGCCAGGCAGCCTCAAATACCGTCTGTGCCATTAAAATACCAGTCAGGTGGCAAACCTAAGAGTAGAGTGTAAAAAAAAAATGTACAAAAAAAAAAATTTTTTTTTTTTTTTTTTTTAAATGGGCCTATTCCATGGGCCTGGGCCTGGAGCTGCAGCTCCATCAGCCCCTATGTTAATCCGGCCCTGCACACTGGGTACACAATATAGGGCGTCACAGACCTCCTGTGGTGTTATAGTTATCGCTCAATAGATGGTAAATTGCATGTAAAGACAAAATAAAAAAATAATCATAATGTAGTATTTATTAATACAAAAATAAACCAGTAAAACCACTCACAAACGTAATGGCACAATAAGACATCTATCTTAATTGTGCAGACATGTATTGTACCCCTAGATAGGCTTAGTCTTAATCTTGCGTGTTTTTTAGTGTCCGCACATGCGCATAGCAAAATCGAATATGAAGTCCAGCATCATAACGTTTGGGCGCTCTTTCGCACATGCGTGCACAACCAGCTTGGAATGCAACCAAGGTTTATTAATATTGTGTGCGAACTAATAATTTCGGATAAGTATAAAAAAAACTGATCAGAACTATGTGCTATTGCGCTTCCGAGTGTAAGGATAGCCTCAGAAATTTGCAACATTAGAAATATTTAAAATATATAACATGAAAATAGAAAAAAAATCAATAATTAACAAAAGTTAATAAAGGGAAAATGAAGGGATATGTTGCATGTAGGGAAAATATTTGTGGGTTACAAAAAAAACCCCCCAAAAACTCTCATATTGATATACAATATTGAAAACCAATATAAAATATTTCATAAGCATCCAAAATCACACTTCATATAGAGTCCATATAAAAATACATAATATTCAGAAAAGAGAGAGAATTGTAAAAATTCCATAAGACCAACCATGATTAGCAGTCATTATTAGGATAATTTATAATCACTGATGTACATAGTATATTCTATGTCAAAATTGTATACATACATAATTCAATACAATTTAATAAAAATGTAAGAAATTTAAAAAAACCTTAAAAAATGGAAAAGGAAAAGAGATGTATGAGAAAAACGACACATTAACAAGAAAAACTACAAATGGCTCAAGGTATAGAATAGATCCAAAAAGTATAATGCAGACATGGATGTCACTTTATGCACAATCTAAAAATATAAAAATACACAAGAAACTGCTTAAAATTTATATAAAGAAGGTCTATATGAAACAGACATGTAAGAAACAATGACAAAAGTCACTATTTACAATCAATCCATAAAAAACAATATATCTAAATCTAAATTAAGACCTTTAGGTACTGTGGTTTGTAATCTGTGAATCCATTCCGTTTCTTTCATGTCTAGCATTTATGTTCAATATCGCCTCCTCTCCAATCTCCTATTAGAGATGCATTAAATCAATGCATCTCTATAGGGAGCATTCAGCATCTCCTGCACAAAATGCAGTACTAAAATAGGAAGCACCTCTAGTGGTCATCTGAGTGACTACACCCAAAGGTGTTACTAGGCAGCATTTATATTGAGCCTGCTGAGTTTACAGGGACATGCTACAGACACCAGAACCACTACATTAGACTGTGTTGGTTTTGGTGACTATAGTGTCCCTTTAACAAAAAAGTAACCAAGCCGGAAGCACAGCTGACAAATAATTTTTCCAGCTTAGCTATTTAAACCTTAAATTTAAAATTTACATTAAATTCGGTTTGAATTCTCACTTTAGTGAATGATTCTGTGGGTACTGAAATGTATGACTATTCAAAAATAGTTTGAGTAGGTACCAGAGTAAACGTTTATCATATATGACAGACATTTTAAATAGTTATATATAAATTTAATTTGTTTTAATGTGATACAAATGTGATTGCATTTTCTTCAGTCTTCAAAAGAAAGAATTTTATAACAACAACCCAATAATTAACTTTTTGTTGTGAAGCTGCTACAGTGATTGTTTTTATTGTTGCAATATTAACTCTAGTCAAATGCATAGACACAATGTCCATTTATGATTATTTCATAAGCACATCTTTAAACACAATTGTGTTCAAAATTCTATATGTAGGATTTATATTTGATTGTGGAACATTAGTACCAACCAAAGAACAAATACTTTTGGGAGGTGTCAAGGATACAGTATAACCTCAACATGCCCTACCACATTCGGCATAGGCTAATGCTATCAACGATAAGATGCAAATAGTGACTTATCACTGGTTCCTAAACTAATGTAATAGTGCATGTAAGGACAGATGGAATGGTCAAATACAAACACACAAAAGTAGGCCATGCATTCCCCACTACTCTTGGGCAGCAGCAATGACTATAATATTCATCAGCCCAAATAACAAAGAACAAAACAAAACAAAAACAAAGTTACTTGCACTTCATTACAAACACGTATGCATATTTAAATAGTAGGAATTTAACTACCATTCCAATGGCCATTAAAATGTAAGCTCACCTAACAAATCAAGGTACACACAAAGTCTTATACGGCAATTCACCTTGCTGTTTAAAAATCTCAAATGAGACATAAAGGGTATTACTATGAACCCCTACAAACTTATTAACCATTAATAGAAGACATGTTTTTTTGGTTTGCTTTTTTAATTGTGAAATAACAATATGAAGTCAATGAGTGGTAGACAAGCCAAATAATTGTATTACAAAATATAAATCAAATAATGGGCACACTAGAGAGCCAGAGAACCACAATAGGTTGTAAATAGCCAACAGAATGGCTAAAAAAATATAAGATATATATATTAATATTTATATGTAGTATGCATGTTCAGCTGAGATTTATCATGGGTGAATTGAGGTGAATATTATACACCACAAGACAGCGCACAGTCCCAGTGTGCACAGTAAGAGAGTGCATCAGGAAGCCATAACAGGAGTGTTGCTCTAATAATACAGTTGTGAATGTGCCTCAACCAGATGTTTTACTTATATAATTATATATATATATACACATTTTCTTTTTGAGTTCCATTTTTCCTTTGTTTTACTTTAGGCACTTACTGCTGCACAGTCTTATTATACCACTACATCTTGGAACTGCCCTCTCACAATACAAAAAGTCCTTCAAGAAATTCCACTTGGTACCTTCTCTTTGCCCATTGCAGCTGCCCAGGTGTTACCCTTCCTGCAGGGTATGAGTTACGTCAATGTGAAGGACAAGCAATGCACAGTTGACAACAGTAAGTCCCTTATTTTATTATTATTTTAGTTTTGTATTTACATAGCACCAATCAAATTCATATTACAGGATGCAATACATAAAGAGCCTCATAAAAAAAAGTTTTTTGAGACAGAAAAGAAGTAATATCGTAGGATGTGAAAGCTTGCAATCTAAAATATGAAAAGTGAAGATTGTCACTTTAAAAATTGTGAGATAGGGTAGGACTGGCACTTAAAGGGAACCTGTCATGACGGCCCTAATACCCCATTAAGCAACAAATATATCATTGGCCATTACGATTATTTCTATATATTTAACTGGACGTTCGTAAGCAATTCCTGTGGCCCTGCAGACAAGGCATGAACTGATCCCGGGCTGTGCAGCAGGCTTCTTACCTTTTATCTCATGAGTATTGAGGATGACTCCAGTTTTATTTTAATCACTCTGTCAGTTATTATGCTCTGAACTTAACTTGCTTTTTTTAAAATGTATTTCTTCTGACATATTCATTATCATGATTTATCGTGTTTATATATTATTTAAAGATTAGGCAGAATTTTCTAGGAGTTTCTTTCTGATTGCTGACCTTATCTGACATACTTCTGTTTAAGCCTCTGTGATACTTATTTACAAATATATATACACATTTATTTGAACTCCTACTTTATGTATATTGTGCATCTTTCAATGCTTCAATAAACAGAGATTGACAATAGGAAATAAAAAAACACAAAACAAAACTTTGTGTAGTCTATTCATTAAACGCCTCATAGCAGCTGAATAGTATTTGATTTTAAAATTTTGGCTATTTTAACCAAAACGTTTGCTATGTAAAATTCATTTGGCTACTCACATAGAGCAAATTCAGACATATTGGCATTTTGATTGGCATTTTGATTCTTACCTTTACCCAACATTTTTAGCATGCCCTGCAATGATTTCAAAATCCTAAATGCCCCATAAACTCTACTCACACTTACAAAGACATCTTTTTTCTCTCTGAGCTGAATATGACCAGTACTCCGGTGCTGTGTGAGAGCCCCACACTCATGGTTTCCATAGATGTGAGGTTGTCAAACAGTGCAGAATTTACTTTTAATATAGACCAGGGATTGGCAACCTTTGGCACTACAGATGTTTTGGACTACACCCCCTGTGACGGACCACCTGGCAATCAGACCGAGTGCCTCCACCAACCGATGCTCCTAGTGCTCACCGAGGAATTCCAGCACTCCACCAGACACCATAAGCACTGCAGACCCCACTTCCAGCGATGCAGCTGCGCCGGGGTCTCGCAGTCCTCCACCCATCCTGGACCCAATACTGGGATCCAGCTTTCAGTGGACAGACCTCTCCTACTCCCAGAGAGCGTAGCAGGAACATCTCTTATAAGAGCTAATGATTATAATTCCTGGGGAGTATAGTGATATAGCAATCCCCAGGATAGATACAGCCCTTTTCCCCCCCACACATGAGATAAAACTCTATGTTGAAGGTAAGAAGGAACAGATGTTTAATGGAGGCACACTGGCCTTTTATGCAAGTTTCCCAACAAGGGTGACACCCAGGTGGACCTTGTTAGGCACATTGACACAAAGTGAATAAACCAATAAAAATGGAGTCATACAGTGAGACACTCCCATACACAAAAAATAGAATCCCTCCTCTGTGCTTGGGACATAATTAAATCTGGAACTGTACTAATCTAACACAATTATTTTCAAGCACAGAAAAACATACAATTTTATGAAACCCCAAAAAGTACCTTAAAAACACATAAAACCCCATAAAAGTTACATCCCGATCTGGGTGAACAACATATCCAAAAATCACCCGGATCAGTTCAGGGGTTCAGGAATTTCCTGGAAGTCATAGTTTTGACCGACTGTACACATGGTCCTATGCCCAAAACAGTTCCAGGGAAATCAGTGCTAACAGCCGGTCAAGTTCGGTAGTCTTTTACAGGTTTCCTCGCAGGGCCCATAGTCTGTGGGCAGGAGGCTGGCAAGCAGGCCCCTCCAAGTACAAGTGGCGAGGTTACTTTTGCCACACCCCCATGATGCTTTGCTAGCATTATGGCTGTAAGAGCATTGTGGAAGGTGTAGTCCACAACATCTGGAGGGCCGAAAGTTGCCTACCCCTGATATAGACTATAGGTAGAGAATTTATAATGTGTTCTTTAACCCCTCAAAAACAAAAAAAACAAAGAAAACCCCAAATATATATTTTCTCACTTTCTCACACACATATACTCATACATACACATTCAAGCACACACAAGCAACTTTTATTTTTTGGTTTTATAAAGATACTCATTCAGCCTCCTTACATTTGTCTGGAAAAGCTGGAGTGGATCCTCATCCCTGGTGGCTAGTGGGGAGCTGCTGTGATCTCCGTGCATTGGCTGGGCAGCTGCCTTGAGCACCCAGTACTGATGCTGTGGCCTAAGTGATGTCACATTCAGGTTCTCAGAATCACTACAAGGCACACAAGGGAGCTGTGTTCCAGAGCACAGATATATCGCAGCTCACTTGCTGCTTGCCAGTAGATTTCGATAGTGTAGGCACTTGTAAAGTGAATAGGCAGGTGCCTAGTCTGCATTATTGGAAATATAAGTCTGCCCCCAAAAATGCCTTAATACAGCTGCAGGGCTGCCTTTCACTTGTGCCAGCCCTAAACGACAACGTATACATGGTAGTACGAAAACAACCAGATTTACTTCTAAGCTACTGCTTAAAACATGGGTAGGCAACTTTCAGCACTCCAGATGTTGTGGATTACATTTCTTATAATGCCCTTACAGCCATAACGCTGCCAATGCATCAGGGGAGATGTAGTCCACGACATCTGGTGGGTCAATAGGTTTTCTATACCTGGCTTAGAACATGTTAGAAGAAATGTTAAAGGTTCTGCTATGTGACAATACAAGACCTGCAATATCTCAAAGTTATTATTAAATTAGTATGTATGTAGAAGGTGTACAGGGCACTTCCTGGGCACTTACTATGGGTAAACACAGAGCAGGCCTGCAATCACTGAAGTGTGTGTGAGTAGGGCACTTAGAAGCACGAACAGGGTTGTACTCACGCATTAAATATGTTCTGGGTGCCAGGTCCTTAAAACATTTGGTGTTTACTCTTTAAAAGTTTATCAGTCTTCAAAAGGATACGATAATGTGGTAGTTGGGAATTAAGCTTCAAAGTGGGGGAGGAATATGTGGAACAAGCCAGCTGGCTCTATATAAGGAAAGTAATTTATACATTTTCTTACTTTTTTTTTTTTTTTGCTTGAGAACATGTATTTACATCTGCTTTGTGTGTCTTTTCTGCTATGTGTGCCGCACACACTAGCTCAGGAAGAATTAGGTGAGTTCAAAAAAAGATAGGTTGTCATTACAGATAGGTCGTCTGTCATTACAGTGCTCATGTTTTCCTGATCCAGCGGAGTATATAAGTTCATGCTTATAAAATATGTATTTCTTAGTCTTTAATTCATTTACACATGCTGTTATATGATCTTTTTCATAATATAGCATAGATGATTTTATTTGTCATATATTTAAGTTAATTTTGATTATAACGTACCATTTTTCTTTTAAATAATGCAATTTATAATCATCAATTCAACTATATGTTCTTCCTCCTTCCCCTTTGCAGGTCCTCGCATTACAGTGGAGTACACCATAGTAAATAACCTAGTAGAGGAAAATTTCAAATACACTATCCAGGTAGAAGTCCTAGAAGGCTCGACTTTGTTGCAGGTCATGCAAAAAGCTGCTCAGATCAACCCCAAGGAGTTCAGGTGAGGAACTAAACAGACAGGATTAGTGTCATCACTTCCACACAGTGAGCAAGTAAAGTCAATTTCCTCATAGTTATTGTATAAAGCAATCAGTTAGGCTATTTGTTACTTCTGTTTACCGTGAGGTCATTCTCAAGTTTCAGAAACTGTTAATGTTTTCTTACAAGATTCTGAACTATTGAGCTTTCCAGTTTAAATGGATTTCCAACAGGGCTTCAGAAAGGGGGAACATTTTCTCATTGACTCTAAAATGACACTGTAATTTAATTTTCAGTCAATATGTTTCTGGTATGAACTTACTGTGCATAGTCTGTTAAAATGCATTCAGTCACGAGGTGGCTATTGAATTTGACAATACAGTGAATTTACATTGTATCTTTTGTTAGTGTGCGATAACGTATGTATGCTGTTGGGCTGATCAGGCAATCGGACAAAATGACAATTTCCAAGCCACCACAAATGTTGTGGGAACCGACTGTTCGGTTTGGTTCTTGATTCAGAGTGCTATTCCTGGTATCAGAAAAAGGGGGATTGAAAAGAGGCTATTTCTGATTTTTTTGGGGGGTGGGGGGCATATATCAGTATCCCATGATGGGCAGGATGTGTTAAAATTGATGGTTACAGCTGCTTAATGTTGATTTTATTCACATATCAAGTGACCAACATAGGGGGGAAACTGAGAAGCAGTATACTATACTTACAATCAGGATTCTTCTTTAATTTAAGATACTGAAGGAGACGGGCCAGCAGTGATCATGTGTGTTTACCCCTGCCATGTCTGTGTGGAAGTGAAAGACTATGTTTAGCTCTCTGCTGTGTCCAGCTTGCAGCTATTGCCAGAAGCAAAGGTGTACCTGGAGCATTTGGCACCCAGGGCAGATCCTATATTTGGCACCACCCCCCAAGTTTAAAATGTAAAAAACATCCACAATTTTCTTTTATGTATTTAGCACTGAGCAGTGTTTTTTTCTGAATGTAAGCATACAGATACAAACACTGACACATAGAGATACACATATACAGATCACAGACACACACATACAGATACACAGGTACAAGTGTGTGTATATATAGTGTATGCAGTGTGTGTGTTTGTGTAGTGGATGCAGTGTGTGTGCAGTGTATGCAGTGTGTGTATATAGTCTATGCAGTGTGTGTGTTTGTGTAGTGTGTGTGTATATAGTCTATGCAGTGTGTGTTCGTGTAGAGTATGCAGTGTGTGTGTGTAAATAGTCTATGCAGAGGGTGTGTTTGTGTATGAAGTGTGTGTTTCTGTAGTGTATGCAGTGTGCATGCTATGTGGGATAAGTGGTAGGGGGGTGAGCAGTTTGTATTGATTGGGTTTCCCCCCCCTCCCTGACTCTTAACTGTGTCCAGGGAGTGGAGACATAACATTCCCTGTTAGTCTGGTGGCACAGCATGGTTGTCCAAATAAGAGGGCCCAGGAGCATCCACCTTCGTTTCACCTCCAGCAGCAGGTCCTTTGTTCTGGCATTTCCAAGAGCATTGCCGCGGGTTGACATGGCAACGCTCCGGCATGCATTGCGTGCAGGGCCGGTGCAAGGATTTTTGCCGCCCTAGGCAAAAGTAAAGTTTGCCCCGTGACATCACAATGCCCCACCCATATGACCTGCCATGTTAACTAACGCTAGTGCTGCAGTGCCGCTGTGTTTACATTAAAAGGCCTGCAGGGACAGGCTATAGACACCAGAACCACTACATTAAGCTGCAGTGGTTCTGGGGACTATAGTGTTTCTTTAATGTGAGGTAAATTAGAGATTAGTGCCACGAATAATATACTAGATTGCCTACTTACAACCAGATGAGGATGATGATGGGCTCTAGCTGCAGTCTGGCTCCACTGGTCTGGTGTATAACAGGATCTCTGGAGGCTGTTTGTAACTGTGGTCACAAAAATCAATGTTCTGGGAGAACGGAGAAGCAGCTCCATTTTTTGGGGGCCCTTTACACAGCTCAAGGTCTGGGTCCCAGGGTCCACCTTCATGTTCCACCAATGAGTTTGTTCACAGGGGGTGGAGTGTGTAGGGGATGTCCTGATTTGTGTGTAAGGAATGCATTGTGTGAATCTGTGTTTCTATGTGTAAGGGCTGCAAGGTGTGTTTCTGTGTATGTAAGGGATGAAGTGTGTGAGTCTGTAAGGGGTGCTTTGAGTGTGTTTAAGGGGTGCATTGAGTGTGTGTAAGGAATGCATTGTGTGTTTCTGTGTGTGTAAGGGATGCATTGTGTGTAAGGGTTGCATTGCGTGTGTGTGTGTGTGTAATGCATTGTGTGTGTAATGCATTGTGTGTTTTTCTGTGTGCAAGGGGTTCATTGTCTTTGTGTGTAAGGGGTGCATTGTGTGTGATTGTGTGTGTGATGGATGTCAATCTCTCCCCCCCTCCCTTGTCACTCTCTTCTCCCCCCCTCCCTTGTTACTCTCATTCCCCCTCCCTCCCCTGTCACTCCCCCCTCCCTGTCAATTTCTCTCTCCCCGTCAATTCCCCTCCCTGTCAATGTCTCCCCCCTCCCTGTTAGTTCCCCCCCTGTTAGTTTCTTCCCCCCACCTCCCTGTTAGTTTCTTTCCCCCCACCTCCCTGTTAGTTTCTTTCTCCCCCCTCCCTCAGTTTATTTCTTCCCCCCTCCCCTCCCTGTTTCTTTCTTCCCCCTCCCTGTTTCTTTCTTCCCCCTCCTTCCCTGTTTCCTTCTCCCCCCTCCCTCCCTACCTGTTTCCTTCTCCCCCCTCCCTCCCTCTTTCTTCCCCCTCCCTCCCTGTTTCTTTCTCCCCCCTCCCTCCCTCCCTGTTTCTTTCTCCCCCTCCCTCCCTGTTTCTTTCTTCTCCCCCCTCCCTCTCTGTTTTTCTTCTCCCCCCTCCCTCTTTTTTTTCTTCTCCCCCTCCCTCTGTTTCTTTCTTCTCCCCTCCCTCCCTCTCTGTTTCTTTCTTCTCCCCCTCCCTCCCTCTCTGTTTCTTTCTTCTCCCCCCTTCCTCCCTCTTTCTTCCCCCTCCCTCCCCTACCTGTGTGGTAGTGTGGCCGAGCCCAGTATAGTCCGACCGGTACAGGGAGCTGTTGTTTCCTGTACCCGGCCGGACTAACAGGAAGTGAACACAGAGTGTGCACTTCCTGTTAGTCCGGCCGGGTACAGGAGACAGCTGCTCTCTGTACCCGGTCGGACCATCATAGAGGGCTCGGCCACGCTACAAGAGGGAGCTGACAGGTGGGGCGCTCAGCGCTGAGCGTTCCCTCCTGTCAGCCCCTCTCCTCAGGCTGCGCCAGGCGGTGCGGTCCGCCCTCATGGACGCACCGCCCGGGCAAAGCTGCAGCCGCCTGAGGCTCTTTACAGAGCGCTCGGGCGGCTGCAGCATGAGCGGGGCCGGCGCTCCTGGCGGCGCCCCCTCCCAAGGGGCGCCCTAGGCGGCTGCCTAGTCCGCCTTACAGGTAGCGCCGGCCCTGATTGCGTGCAGCACAGAGTGTTTCTATAGCAACTCACTGTAATGCTCTTGCAGATCGCCAGAACAGAGGGCCTGCTGCTGCTGGAGGTAAAATGAATGTAGAGAGTCTTGCAAGTGCCCTGGGCCCTTTACATAAGACACATGCGCCCTAGACATCCCCCCTAATGAGTGGCACCCGGGACGGACCACGCCTTCCGCTCCCCCTTATTATACCACTGGCCAGGAGCATTTGAAACAACTTTCAGTAGAAGATTAGATTGAATTTGCATACGTAATTTGGTGTAATAAGAAAAAGAAATCCACCATCATAATTTTTATGTTCTAATCCCAAGAAGAAATTGAGGAAGGGTTGGGAAGGTGCTGTGTATCCCAATGCATCATCAGCATAAGTGTCATGGCATCTTAGAGTCTGAACACCTCTTCCTCTGCCATGAGGACTGCCATGATGACTGCTGACACCTATTGCTGTGTCTACCACCACCTCTGTCATAACCACTATTATTAGAGAGAAGGATAAGCAGCATGTCTGTTAAAGCGGTGCTGTCACCCTATACTTACCTTGCTTCAATCTGTTCTTCTTTTCCTCACTCCTATCAGTTCTTTTCTTCTTCTTCTATTTTTTTGTCCTGAATTATATAAGGCAAAGGACTATTTTGACTGTACAGCATTAAGAGTATGTCTAAGGACTTGCAGGTCCGATACACATTAAGAGTTTTTCTTGATCTTTTCCCTATTTGTTTGTTTTTGCACTGAGTATATTAAAGGACCACTATAGGCACCTAGACCACTTCAGCTCAATGAAGTGGTCTGGGTGCCAGGTCCATCTAGGATTAACCCTGCCTGCTGTAAACATAGCAGTTTCAGAGAAAATGCTATGTTTACTTTAGGGTTAATCCAGCCTCTAGTGGCTGTCTCATTAACTGCCGCTAGAGGCGCTTTTGCGCTTCTCACTGTGAAAAATCACAGTGAGAAGACGGCAGCGTCCATAGGAAAGTATGGACTGGCTGAAAATATGGACTGGCTGAATGCACTCTTGCCGCGCATGTGCATTCAGCCTATGATATCAGAAAAGGGAGGAGAAAGGTGAGTGTTTAACCCCCTTTCTCCCCATAGAGCCCGGCAGTAGTGGGACCCTGAGGGTGGGGGCACCCTCAGGGCACTGTAGTGCCAGGAAAACGAGTTTGTTTTCCTGGCACTATAGTGGTCCTTTAAACTATTTTTGGATTTGGAGCACTTGTTCTGACATTTTCTTTTAGCTATATATGGACCTATTTTCCTAGTAATTTTTGGTCTTTCTGACATATGTATGAATTTTTTATAAAGAACCAGCATTTTTAAAGAATGGTTCCTGATGATTTTACTGGCAGCTTGTGTGAGTACAGTAACTTTCTTTATGTGTGCAAAGGAGGCAAGCCTTCAGAGGATCCAACAAAGTACACTTATCCCACTATTAGTTAGTAGAATGTCAAATTCAGTGTGATAAGGAAAGTTTTGAGGGATCTGCTCCACAGACATTCCATGAGGGAGATGTTTTAGATTTCCCTGTTATCCACTAGGTTTCTCTTTGGTTTCACCTATCCATCTCATTGATCTAATGTGTGTCATTGGGATTTTTTATTGTACAATATGAATATTAAAGGGATCCTATAGTGCCAGGAAAACAAAGCCATTTTCCTGGCACTATGGTGTTAATAGGTCCCCCCTCCTGCCACTTCAGCCACTTACCTGAATTCAGCGCCGGTGCACTGGGTCAGGCTGCGCCAACACCCCTCACTGACGTCAGCGGGGAATATCTAATGGAGATCTAATGCACATTTGACACTGAAGGTCCGTGAGGACGTCCAGCATCAGATAACGGACCAAAAGTCTGTTTGGATTCTGGCAGCCCTCTAGTGGCTGTCTGGTAGACAGCCACAGAGGGAAGACTTAGAGCTAAGGAGTAAATATTGCAGTTCTCTGGAGTTATCATATGGAGTTTTATGGGACTTGTTTATCTTGCAATTAAAGCGGCACTGTCATGGCTGAATCCAGTTTTTTTTTAACCCCCTCTCTCCCCGACTCCACTACATCTAATTGTCTCCCTAGTCACCCCCAAAGGCCCCTAAACCCCCCATATTACCAATTTTGAATCTATATTTTCTATCCGGACTTAGGTCCTGGGTGCCGCCATCTTTGTGTGGGTAGATGAAGTCCCTGTCGGATTCGTCACCTGCCCACATTAGAAAGCGCCGTGAAATTCCTGCGCATGCCCAGATAAACACTTGTATGCGAACAGGAATTTCATCCATCCATCCATTCCTCAGAAAGACGAACGAATGAATAGAAATGTCAGATGAACAAACACTGAATATTGGTGCTCATTTGTTCGTTTAGTTTTTTACAAGGAGGGAGCTACCGGGCGTCGCACAGCTCCCTCCTTGTAATATGTAATGATAGAAGCGGTAGGGAGCAGTGGTCCCCGCCACTTCCTAAGCCTCCCCATGTCCTTCCTCACTCTATGGGGGTCAATATGAGCTGTGTCTGCTCACTGTTATAAAAATAATCCCCCCGCCCCCTTTCCAACAAATGGCCCCATGGTGGGGCAACTACTAACTAGCAGGGGGGACATAGTGTCCCCATGAGCCCCCACCCGTGGCCCGCGAGTGGTGGCTATTCAACTAAACAATAGCGTCTTTTTTTTTTCCTGCCAGATTTTTTTTTTTTTTTTGTGCTAGGGTTTTTTTTATTTGATAAGTTAGACGGGTATTTTGTTTTTTTTATATTTGGCCTTTTTGGGGGCTGAAAGGTATTTAGCTTTGTCTCCCCTTCACTATTTTTAGGTTAAGAGGGTAGGTAGGGATTTATTTGATTTCATTTGGGTGGGGGTGACTAGGGGCTTGGGGACCCCAAGTCACCGGGTGGAAGGTGGGTATTTTTACACTTAGCCCCATCCGTCGCCCATGGGTAGGGGCAGGACAAAAGGTCCCCCCATTTTCATTTAGGGCCCTCACCTGCTGCCCAGGGATGGGGGCCGGGAAGGAGGACAATTTACCCCTCCCAATTGTTAATAGATGACCCACAATTATTGGAGGCTGCTCACTGTTTAGTAGACATGCCCCATACTTGCACCATAGCAGTAGGGGATTTTTGGAGATTTCAATAGCCCATATGCTATTATGGCGGTCATATTGACCCCCATAGAGTGAGGGAGGACATGGGGGGGGGCTTAGGATGTGGCAGGGAGAACTGCTCCCTGCCGCTTCTATCTTTACATATTACAAGGAGGGAGTTGCGCGCCGGTTGCTCCCTCCTTGTAATAAACTAAACGAACAATCAAACACCGATATTCGGTGTTTGTTCATCTGGCATTTCTATTCATTAATCCGTCTTTCCGACGAATGAATGGATGAAATTGCCGTTCGCATGCCCAATTTTCACAGTGCTATCTAGTGTGGGCAGATGACGTATCCGACAGGGACTTCATCTACCCACACAGAGATGGCGGCACCCAGGACCTATGTCCGGACAGAAAATATATAGCATTTGGGGCTGACTAGAGGGACAATTAGATGTAATGGAGTTGGGAGGGGGGTTGAAAACAAAAATGGACTCGGCCATGACAGTGCCGCTTTAAATATTGATATTTTTCTTTTATTTATTTTTTGTTAGATTTCTGTCTGCACTGGGTAATTTTCTTGCTGTACTTCAATTATGCTACTACTAGATGCCTCATTGTAAAATGTCCATTTGTAAATACAGCGGTGTGGCTGACACAATGTAGATATATTAACAAAGAGAGATGCCTGGGACAAATTGTTTCTGTAAATGGAGAATTCGGGCTAGAACAACATGACTATTAAAAAGAAGGGAAAATGGGCACCTGAAATATCATGGCAATGTAAATGTGGAATGGATTCGGTGGCAATTTGGCTATACAATTGCAATATGATAGCTATAATGGCCATTATATAGTTTCTGTGTAAAATACCAATGTGCAAGGGGTTTAAGAGAGACTGGTGGGATGTATTTATTGAAAATGGGATGGTACAATTGGGGGTCTGTAATTGAAGAGTATTGGTGGGTACACTGTGAGCACATAAGTGGTAGACACTTGCAGCAAGATAACTTCATCAGAATTATTATGGGACAAGAAGGTCATGGACGTGGGTTGGGCAGTGTTATATTGTCAACAAAGCCAAAAAGTCTTCAGTCTGGTGCTCATCAACTTGCCCCTACACTTCCATTTGAGTCTGATGCTTCAATCAGGAAGTTATTTTATTTTAAGCTGCCCAACATCCATCCATTTTTGTATTGCACAGGGTTATTGCTTCATGTATTTTTGGTGAATGTGATGTTTCCAAGTACTGTATTCATGAGTAATGGTGTCACATCTATTACATTATTAAAGACAGTGAGTGGCCAACCCATTTTCTCAGAAAAAAAAAATTGCTTCCTTGTCAGTTGTTTTTCTCAATGTTTATTTTGTCATGACTTCATGGCTCTTAAATATAAGGGTGGATTCATAATTCCTGGCAGTGATGGTATCATATTGTGACTGCAGAACAAAATCATTTGAATAGCTCATACTCAATAGAGTTAGCTTGAACAAAGGTAACTTGGACAAAGCTCCTCAAAATAATGATATTACAGCAGTATTATTAGTGTAGATAATAATACAGTATATACAATAATCACATGTTAACCCCCTTAACATCTCTTGGCAGTCAAAGGTTTGAAACAGTGAAGGTTATTAGCAGGCTTACCATTTAGTTGTACTTAGCTGAAGAACAATGCTAGGTAAAGAACAGAGGAGATCACGTGGTGGAGGTCCAGCATAACAGGGCAGTTCCGGAGTGGAGAATAATGTACACAGTCCGTGATGAAATCAGGCAGCTTTGGAAACCAAAGTACAGAGTCCATTATAAGGTAGAGACTGGCAGGGTTATTACTAAAGTGAGAATTAAAAATTAAATTAAAATGAATTACAAATTTAAGACCAAAATAAATAAATATATAAAAAGTACGTTATTCGTTCAGAACGGCTACCTTGGCTTAAAATATTAACTTCACTGAGAATTCTCACTTTAGAGAATAGCTCTGTGAATAATTGAGTGTTTGGAGTTTACTGTAACCTTTATTTGGGGTGCGGAAAACAGCAGGAACAGCACAAAGGGGGTAATCTATGTTCCTAAAAGCAGAGCCAAGATCAGATATCAGGGAGGTCAGGGCACGAAGGGTTGTGCCATAAGCGTAGTCAGGGACCAAGGTCAGAAACCAATAAAGGTCAGAGTATGGAGGGATTGTCAATAGCATGGCCAGGGTAAAAAAAAACAAGGTAATAAGCCAACAAGAAGAGTACTGATACCGGTCAGGTCACTTAGAGGAATAAAGAACAGAGGCTGAAAATGAGCAGTATTACGCAAGTCAATACAGACCAGTAGACTCGATTAAGCCATGAGGATTCCACAGAGCAATACTTAAATTGTCAAACATAATTGTACAAACCTAAAAGCATTTAAGGATCAAACAAAAGTGCTACTATAAGGGTTATTCACTAAAGTCCAAATGGCCCTGAAAAGAATGGGACAAAACAATCCAGCTGCATACTGGAAAAAGTGGACATTGTTGATGGAACTGACCAATGACTGGATTTTGTAAATCAGGACCCAAACTAAGGTTTTTTTGAGTTTTGAATAATAGTATCAAGGTTGATGAGTTGGTTTGTTAGTTATACATTAAAAGCATTTCTACATGCAATCAAACCATAACACATTGTCTTAAAGGTGAAATATTCAGCTACACTGGATGTATGAAACTTTTCCATCTACTGCAAGTTCCTTTAAATTGGCTGATTCCTGCAAAATGTGTCTGACTTTTTCCCCCCCAGTTTTTCCACTACCGATAGTGAGTGGGGTGTCTTTGTCTCAAGCATAAATAATCTTGCTGGAAATAACAACCAAAGGACATACTGGCAGTTTTTTAATGAAACAACACCTTTACAACTAGGTAAGAATACATCTTTTCTTCTTACCACAATTAATTTCTAATATATGTACTTTATCCTTTGCACCTGACTTGTTTAACACATAGGACAGTTTGTTACTAACTTGCTAATATTAATAGATTTGAAATTCTATGCTGATATACATTCCATATTGTTAGTGTCAAAGATCACCACAAGACATTAAGGGACAGTAAAAGCACCTAAAAGTACTATATCTTATTACAGTCCTTACATGCCCAGCTGTCACTGAAAAGTTACCATTTAGTCTTCTCTAAGCAGGAATACAGAGGGTCAGTCCCAGACATATGTTCAGATATGGTCATGTAAGGACTTTTGCCCATTGGAGTGGTCTGGGTGCCAACTCCCACTACCTTTAACCCTGCAACTGTAAATTTTGCTATTTTTATAAACTAATATTTACCTTGCAGGTTTAACTCCTCCTTTAGTGGCTGTCTACTAGACAGCCACTAGAGGGCACTTCCGGGTTTATAGCACACATTTCGTGTGCTATAGCATGTCGCAGAAATCGCAGAAATGTGTTGCAGAAATCCCCATAGGAAAGCATTGAAAGCATGTTTCAATGCTTTCTTATGGGGAGGTGTAATGCGCGTGCGCAGCATTGCCGCACATGCGCAATAGGTCTCCCCTCGCCGGATGAGCGTGGGCAGACCCTGACCCATCGCCGAGGGACATCGGTGCTGGATACAGGTAAGTCACTGAAGGGGGAGAGGGGACCTGCAGTGCCAGGAAAACGGTTTGTTTTCCTGGCACTGGAGAGTCCCTTTAAGCTGTAGGGACACTCTAGGTTCTATAACCTTTTTATCTCCCTGAATTGTTAATGGTATCTGGAGTACCTTGGCACCATCCTTCATAAAAAATGTACTACTAGTTTAACAACTAGTTTAACATTAAACAGCTAGTTTAACATTAAGAAAATTATCGATCCTGGTTTCCGTGGAACCATAATTGTCTTAATGTTAAACCATTGTTTAACCAATTACCAGTTTTAAACTATATTAATTAGCTATTTTAATTAATTATAACCATTTTTCAAACATTTTTAAACAGTGTTTAAACACTACAGACACTGTAATGAGATGGAGCAGTGTCAGTGACCAGAGAGTCTCTTTGACTATAATGTTAGCATTGTTATATTGATTATAAAAGCCCTCGTCCATCAAGTTCAACCTTCCACACATCTGTTTTCTCTATTGCCCAATTAAAACAAATAGTTTACAACTAAAGTGGTTAACATATTTCTCCTTGGATCGTCAGGCTTTGTGTTAACTTTCATAATACTGAAAATGTCCCACTTTGCACAAATAAATAAAAAAATAAAATTAATTTTAAAAAAAATTATATATATATTTTTTTTAAAAGATGTCTGCTGAAAATGCTGCTAAAACAACCTCCTAGGTAGAGAATTTCACACCTGCGAAACACTTACTTCAAATCTCAGTGTAGGATCTCGTGTAAGCTCCATGTACAATTGTATAATGTTATCATATTCCTTCTGAAATGGCTGTATGCTAAAGTAGATAAAAGTAAATTTTGTGATCTTTCTTCATATTTAAGATTTTAGATTCCACTTTTTAATTTATACCCCACACGCTTGTACACTAAATAGCACAAATCCTAAAAGAAACAAATCCTGGAAGATTAAAACAGTGAATTGGCCAATTATCATTTAAGCTCCTGCTTTTAATATACTGAAGAAATATATATATATTTAAACATTTTCCCCTTTTCCTGATCTGGAATATTTATCCCATGCCTAATGTTTATATTGTTATTAACAACCACTTTTTAGAATCCTATTAGCATACTGTATTGCTAAAGGAACAGCATACAGTTTTTTTTGTGTGTTATGTGTAAAACTATGTCCTTAATCAAAAAAATGTTTTTAAAGATATATAAAAGCTACCACAATGCAAAAACAATCATGGAAAATATCAGTTAGCACAAAAGAACAATAAACATAAGACATAAAACAAAATAATTATTATGTGCACCTGCTTAATTTAGTATAATCAAGTGTAGACCAGCGACAGCTAATCTTTGAGACTCTTGTTGATGAAGACTATTTTTACACGATTTTCACGGTGTCCAAAGACTGGCCATCACTCTAGACTTTAATTTCTGCTATCACTGTTTAAAGATGCATTTTAAATGTGAAGAACTTCCATCCTTTCCAGTATATTAATCATTGATCTTTTCTTACTTTTCTCCTAGGTGTAAGCTCATACAAACCTACCAACAAGGAACACATCTTGGCCATTTTCAGCAAATTCTAATTAATACACATTTCTGCATGTTCTGCTTTTCATTTCTTTTTCCAGTAATTTTTTATCCTTTTAAAGGACATGTCTGGTGTTCACAAGGTCATAATCGATACCAAGTGATATATACAGTATATATATATAGGCACATGCAATATAGGATCATACCTACAAAATCTACATTATTTGACCTATTTCAGGAGTTATTAAAAACCGTTTATGCTTTAAATATGCTTATATATCAGCTAAAAAAAGCAAACAAAAGAAAATCAAACCATAAATATTTGTTAGAGATTTTTCCCATTTTGTCATAAGCACGTAAATCATTTAAAGTGGACTTGTCATTTACAAATTTTCCTTTGTAAATCTGCTTAAAAGAACACCCTGGGCAACATAACAGCATCAAAATAATATTGTCATGGTGCCAGGGAGCCTCTGGCAATTTCTTACACAGAGGGGTCAAATCATTCACAAACAGTCTAACCCCAAAGATTGCTCTTTAGTGCCATATCTCCCTTTCTCCAAATCAGTTTGAGGAAGCACAGAGCACAGCTGATTGGCTTAGGGAGGTCAGCTGATTCATAGAAAGGTATATACCTTGTGTAGCAACTATAAAATGTCAGCTTCAGTAAATATGCAAATAAAGTTCATATGAATATATGTTATCTGTAAGTTACACAGGCAAGAATATTACAGGTTCACTTGAATGTATATGTGAATAAAAATCCAATCTACATCGCCTTGCTTCGTGTTTTTATGTTTGTACCTGTTACCTTTGTATCTGTTACACACACATGAAATGAAGTGCATGTGTAACTGAAGCACAGAAATACTGTATCCTTAAAATGACAGTTGTAACAGCAACTAGAAGCTAAATTATACAAATAATATTTTAATCTTGTTCAAGCATTTTCAGTAAAAATAGCATTATAAAACTGTAATTACAAAAAATAAATTACAACAATTACAAGAAACATCAAAAAGTCTTTCAAGCTGTCAAACTGATACGTTTACAAAAATGCATGTTTGTTGTGTAATTCTTTTTAACTCTTTTAACTAACAAGCTCCTTTAATTAAAAAATAGATACATAAAATGTATTTGAAATATTGGTTGTGTAACAGTGTAAGCATGCAGAAGCCAAACACAGAGATATGGACACAAGTCTTCAGGAAGTAAGAGGCCTTTATTCACATTACCGATCGGGTCTCAGATGAACTCCTGTTCCAAAATTCTGAGAGACAAATACCTGGTGCATGAGACTTTTGTTAACTGCATATCTCCTCCCATACAGTATAACCCCTCCTATATTCCTCAGACCAATCAGCACACAGGATATTCAGGATCACCTTATATGGCAGACCACATGGCTTGTTGAAGACAAAGGATTTTACTATCCACTTTCACACATGCTCCGTATACTGATGACTCATCCAACTGTTTGTAACCAGATACTAATTAGCATATGCCATGTGGAGATTTTGGCCTACTAAATTTTGACCATGCTGGAATCCCATCACAGTTGCATAGCTAACATAATTATCATAAGCAATGGATTAAAAAAAATAATAATCTAAAACGAGCAAAAAAAAAATAAACTTTATGTTAATTCATAGAAATTTCATTTTCCATATATTTCTTCACCCTTTACATACATAATGAAGGGATAAAACTTTTACTTAGAAATTATCAGTTTTATTCACTAAAGTGAGAATTCAAAGTGAATTTCAAATTCAAGGTCAATATAGCTAAACTGGAACAATTCTGAAAGCTATGCTTCCAGTTCGGCTACTCTGGCCTTACATTTGATATTCCCCTTTAATTCACTTTGAATTCTAACTTTAGTGAATAACCTTGTATATGGCATTCCTTTTCCTTCCTGCAAAATTTAAAAACTGTTCGGAAATACTGGTAGAGTGTAGCAAAGCTCCTATATCCTGGCTGGATATCTCTGCTGGAATTTCATCGTAGCTGACCTTTCAGTGTTTATAGCCCCTTTCCTCAGTCATCAGATGACAAATAATGCTGGAGAGAATAACCAGTTTTAATGAGCACAATGCTACCTTTGATACACAGGCCCCCAGCATGGGGTCAATACAAAGCTTATTTCCTCCCTGGCGTGTCTTTTCCTCGCTAAACTAATCATCTCCCGAACACAGAGGGTCCAATACAGAACCCCCACAAAATTTTACAGAAACATCCTTAAACCCCCACTCATTATACATCTCCAGATAGGTCTGATCCGAACACCCATCCTTTAAAAATAGCACCTATATACATGGAGAATTGGGGAATCTCTAGTTTCTGGGAGATCAAGGTAAGGGGACTCCTCCAGGCTTAAAGGTAGCAATTGTTCCCCTTGATGAATTGAAGCTCTACTTCATAAATTGATTGCCTAGAACATTGGGAAAGCAGTGAAAACTGGGTTGGGGTGGTGATCATGGTCGAGCTGCAGTTCCAAAAGGAATCATAGGCAGGTTCCGCTGAAGAGATACTCGGTCTCCCTATAATTGTTCACGGACCTGATAGAGATGGGCACTTAGCTGGAACAAATGGAGGGGAGAGGGGACAGGGAGCAATGGGAATGATATAGTCTTTTATGGGAGTTAGGTGGTATATACCACAGAGTAACAACCATTTTTGTCAACTACAGTTAGTGTGGCAACACAGATTATTACATATTAAGGGACATTGTATGAAAGGAGGTGTAACAGGTATAGCAGTGCCAATCTCCAACTTGAGATCCAGACCCTGTCTCATTACGCCGTTTATAATTTTTCATTACCTGGATCCATGGCAGCAATGCTTGTCAAGACATAGGGAACAAAAAGCAAATATTGTTTTAATAAAAAATAAAAAAAAGCAAATTTTTATGTTTACTTTAGGGTTAATCCAGCCTCTAGTGGCTGTCTCATTGACATCCGCAAGAGGCGTTTCCGCGCTTCTCACTGTGATTTTCACTGTTCTATTACACATGGTGTGTGGGTATCCTGGAACCTCCTTAAACATGCGGGAGTCTCCCGGACTTACTGGGAGACTTGGGACGTCTGTAATACAAACATGTATTCTTAATGCTATAGTGTCCTGTAGCAGTTTAGGTTACTCTCCCAGCGCATGAAAAAGGTGGTTTTACTTACTTTTTAGTCCTAATCTTGATGATTGCAGCCAATCTGGTGCTTCCCCATATTGGGAGGCTAGTGCGCATGTATGGCAAATCAAGGTGCTGCGCAAATCAAATGCTGCTCTAGGAGCAGAATTTAATGGATACTATATGCACAAAGACCACTTCAGCTCATTGAAGTAGTCTGGGCTTGCTGTTCCAGTCCCCTTAATCCTGCAATTGTAATTATTGCAGTAATTGATTAACTGCAATAATTACCTTGCAGGGTTAATGCCACCTCAAGAGGCACTTCTGGGTTGCTAGGTGACTTTTTGTCGCTTAAATGACGCTGAACGTCCACAAGCCATGCATTAGGGCATCCAGCATTAGCTAAAACTCCATAGAAAAGCACTGAGCAATGCCTTCCGATGGGTTAGTCCTTGCTGGCTGATGTCGGCGTTGGACTGAACACTTTTTTATAATTTCCAAATGCAATGTGGAGGGATATACACATATATTGTGACACCTAGTGGTGGTTCTGCAAGACTGCAAAATCTGCATAAGAATATCCTCGGTCCTGAATATACATTAAGCCTCCCCACTACTTATATATATCCTGTATGGAAGGCAAGGGTAAAAGAGAAAACCATTGGCGTAGGGCAGTTTAAATGGTCCGTATTGCTATCATGACAGAGCACCAGAACAGTAAACATTTCAATTATTTTTGTCAATCTTTCTTTTATTGAGATGTTTGCATATTACACAGAAATCAAAGTAAAGTGTCCTAACAAACACAATTTAAGTACAATGCTAGGCTGGAGGGGCACTGAACAAGAAAGACATGTCTAGTTAGAAAAGGGGAAAAAGACCCTATTGGTGATAAGAACTGCTAGACACTTTGAGTGATAGATGTTATGTATTGAGTGACTGACGAGGTAGGGTAATAACATATTAACATGCATAGAAAAAGTGAGGCAACTTAGGCTAAAAAACCAAGATAGCTGAGCCACTGAGACCCCCACACCTCAGCATACCATTGTACTGCTAAAGGTAAACCATGTGTAGTACCTCTATACCATAACGGCACTGCATAGGTTTAAAGTTAAAATAAAATACAACGCAAATAACTCAGATTGAAAAGTAAGATTAGATGGTATCGGCTGCCAGAAAGGAGACATCATAGAAGCATAGAATGTGATGGCAGATAAGATCCATTCGGCCCATCTAGTCTGCCCAATTTTCTAAATACTACCATAAGTCCCTGGTCTTTTCTTATAGCTAGGATAGCCTTATGCCAATCCCATGCATGCTTAAACTCCTTTACTGTGTTAACCTCTACCACTTCAGCTGGAAGGCTATTCCATGCATCCACTATCCTCTCAGTAAAGTAATACTTCCTGATATTATTTTTAAACCTTTGCCCCTCTAATTTCTTGTTGTGGTAGTCATATCCCCCCTGTCTCGTCTTTCCTCCAAGCTATACATGTTAAGTTCCTTTAACCTTTCCTTGTAAGTTGTACCCTGCAATCCATGAACCAGGTTAGTAGCCCTTCTCTGAACTCTCTCTAAAGTATAAATATCCCTCTGGAGATATGGTCTCCAGTAGGTCTCACCAGTGTTCTGTACAATGGCATGAGCACTTCCCCCTTTCTACTGCTAATACCTCTCCCTATACAACCAAGCATTCTGCTACCATTTCCAGGCAAAAAAAAAAAAAATATCTTAAAAAGCATGATATAAATTTGATAACTGTATATGCATACACTGATCAGCCACAACATTAAAACCACCTGCCTAATATTGTGTAACACCAACCGTGATGACAAAACAACTATGATGCATTGAGGCATGGGCTCCACAAGACTCTGAACATGTTCAATTGTATGTGGCGCCACTATCAAGAAGGGGTAAATGTGGTCTGCAACAATCTCTAAAAAGGTTATGCTGGTCAAAGTAACATCCACGTGAATACCAGGACCCAAGCTTTTGCAGCAGAACATTGCTCAGAGCATAACAATGCCTCAGCCCACCTTATTCTCCTAGGGCATCCTGCTGACATCTCTTCCCCAGGTAAATTATGCACATGCACCGTGTCATCTACCTGATCTAAAAAATTGTTTTTAAAAATGGCATTTATCAGACCAGACAGCCTTCTTCCATTGCGCCATTGTCCAGTTCAGATGCTCATGTCTCCATTGAAGGCACTTTCAGTGGTGGACATGGATCAACATGGGCACTCTGACTGGTCTGCAGCTTCGCAGCCCCATATGCAGCAAACTGCAATGTACTGTCTGTTCTGACTCCTTTCTATCATGGCCAGCATTAAGTTTTTCAGCAATTTAAGCTACAGTAGCTGTTCTGTGCAATTGGACCAGACTGGTTAGCCTTTGCTCCTCATGTGCATCTATGAGCCTTGGGAGCCCATAACCCTGACGCCAGTTAACTGATTGTTAATCCTTGCATTACTTTTGGTATGCTCTAGCAATTGCATACAAGGACACAGGGGGAGAAAGAGGGGGAATAGAGAGATGGGGAGGGGGAGATCCCAAATATGATGAAAAACTTGTGAATTTAAATTCCAGTCACAGGAATCCCTTAGACACCGGGAATACCAATCTGCTGTATCTGTCAGATATCAAATAACCGTTGACAGCATGGAGCACTCAAGAAGTAATAAGGGACCAAACCTGGGTATAATGGATGAGTCTGTGCCCCACTGTTAGTAGAGAAGAAAGGTGATAGCAAAGGTGATAACAGTAACTTACTGTAAAGACGTCATCCTGAAGGAGAAGAAGGTCAGTGTGGACCTCTGCTCAGTGGGTCTTCATTCCTAGGAACTTCAGTTCTGGCATTGAGAACCTCTATTAATGGACAGATGGCTCATGGCTATTCAGGTCCCAGCAAAAATCTTAGGGTGGGTCATCCTTCTCATATTGGCCTGTGCTTTGCCTTAGGCTCTGAAGGTCTGTACATAAGACACTATGTGTTTAAGAAAGGAATCCCGAAAAAGGAAATCCTTAGCCTGAGTGTCCTGTTCAGTAAGAGTCGCCATTAAACGCTTATAAGAATACATCGAAATCTCTTCTGGAATATAAACCTAGAAAAGAAGGGAATTTAAAAGAGATCCCTTTTATTTGTGGTTTTAATCAGAACAGCAATCAGATCAGAAAAGCAATAAGAAAATACCGGCCTATTTTAAAGAATGATCCAATGTTACATAGCATATTCCCAGATCAGCCTAAAATTGTGTATAAAGGTGCACCAAACTTAAACCGCTTTTTAACTAATAATCACATAAAAGAAAAAAAACAGGGTTTCTTTGGGTGTGGACAGTGCCTGGCTTGCAGGAATACCAACAGCAGTAAGAGACACGTCACATCCTTTGAAGACCCTCAAAATAAAAAGGAATATAAATTGAAGACTATGACCACATGTTTTTCTAAAAGGGTTATCTACATCTTGCAATGTCCATGTAATTTGTATTATGTTGGGAGGACCAAACGTCCCCTACATATTCCCATTAATGAACATGTGAGAAATATTAGAAAAGGGTATGAAAAGCACAATGTGTCCCTTCATTTTAAATCACTACATAATAGCGATCCTAGTCTCTTAAATTTTTTTGCCATTCAAAAGGTGGAGATAAATTGGAGAGGGGAAGATGAAATTAAAAAACTTTGCAAAACAGAAATGAAATGGATTTTTAATCTCAACACCCTTGCCCCTCATGGTCTTAACATTGATTTTGAGCTGTGCCATTTTTTTATAAATAATTTCTATTTTTTAAAAGATCCCTTACCCGCAATATGGTGTCATCTTCCCCTTTGTTTTAGTATATATGCATTTTTTATATTTTTTTATATTTTCTATTAGATGTGTGACACACTTAGTTGGTTGGTATGTTTTTTCTATTTTTAACAGACGCTTTTTTTAAGTAAATCTAGTTTTTCATTTCTAAATAGAAAAAGAAAAGGAAAAATGATTTTTTTGTATATATCTATGACTGAGTATTACAGACTATATAAGTCTAACTGTTTACATAGTGGCCTTTTTATACAAGACAAATAGGTAATCACTTGCTTTTCCTTAAATTTAGATTGTTTTATACCCTTGTACTCTATGCATTAAAGTTGATATCCACCTTTTGGAGAGTATATGGTTTATACTACACTCATATCCCAATTTGTTCCAATACCACAACCCCTTATTAAAATATGTTTGTCTATATACATTATAACATATGTTGTTTTAGATTTTAACAAATGTCGATACGTTTTTCTGCCAATGTATTAATGGTGTCTCCCCTCTGAGGTCTGATAAAGAACGCTTTCTAAGTCTATTTTATAAGTTATCACATTGGATGAAACGGATCTAATAAGACAGATTGGGGGAGCGGAGCATGCTGGGACTTGTAGGACTAAACGGAACTCAGAAGTGACGTATCGGCAATCATCTAGCAGAACCCGGAAGTGAGGTATCGGCGTCAGCAATCAAGAACGAGTTTCAGCTGTACGCCCGCACGGATAACGGAGAAAAAAGGCGGGCATAAAGAGCTTTAAAACCGGACACCAACAGACAAACAAGCATACAGACCGAGGAAGCCGACGAAACACGTCTCTGACAGAAAAGGAGAGAGAGGAATCAATACTTAGTATTTATATATGTGTTTTTTATGTTTATACACTTATTTTATTATTTTTCAATAAATTGTAATTTTAAAGTTATCTACAT